GATTGGAGTGGTGAAAAAGAATTCACGTAGACGTAGTGGATTCTAAATTTGTTGGAACAAGACGTTTGTCTTTTGCGTTGTTTGGTTTTCAAGGCTAACGGGCTGTTGAACTAGCTGGAACGGGAGTAAAGGATTCATGTAGTTGACCCAAACTTATTGGGAACAGTTATATGTATATATGTTGTATTCGTGCTGTTTGGTTTACTTATTATCGTTTAAGCATTTATAAGTTTTTCTTTTGTAATTGATGATAATTGAAATTTGCTGTATGTGGAAAATAAATTTCAGGAGCAGGGAGGGTTCAAGATCTGGAAAAATGTCACAAGGACAAGGACAAACACCACTGCGAAAACCTCCTGGTTACAGGGATCCTTCAATCCCAATTCAGAAGCCGAGGCCGCAGCCGCTGCCACGAAAAGCCGTCACCCTGCCACCGTCATTTTACCAAAAGAAGCGGCGGAGCTGGTGCCGGACATGCTGTTGCTGCACCTGCATTGTCCTCTTTCTGTTACTCATCTTGATCATTGTTTCTGGTGCCCTTTTTTACATCTGGTTTGATCCAAAGCTGCCTGTTGTCCACCTCAAAACCTTCAAATTCACCAAATTCCACGTAAGGCATACCGATGCAGGACCTGCGTTGGATGCGCAGTCAAATCTCAACATGGAGATAAAGAACCCCAACAAAAACTTTGAGTTGGAGTATGATAAGACACGGGCGGTTTTGAATGCTAAAAATGGTGCCAATTTGGGGGAACAAACTTTGCCTGGATTCACACAAAAGAAAAACAATGTGAAAACTTTGAAGTTCACAATCAAGGCAAGTGAGGAACTTTTGGCCAAAAAAGATGCTGATAAGATAATAAATGGATTCAAGAACAAGAATTTGGTGATGAGTATAGAAGTGAGGACTGGAATGGGATTGAAGGGGAATGGATGGAAAACTGGGACAATTCAAGCGAATGTGATTTGTGCTGGCATAACATTGAATCAGATTCAGAATGGTGCTATGCCCAAATGCCGCATTAAGTTGTTCGACTGGTAAAAACCATAAATATAATACCTGAAGAGTTATGCTAATTTTAAAACCTTTTACGTTGTTTGGTAAAGTCAAGTTTTGACCATATACTCCTACCAAGCGTGTCCTGAAAAGCTATGCTAATTGCAAACTCTCATGGCTTGTTTAGTCAGGGCGAGTCTTTTCCTCTAACTCATGCAGAATATACCTTGAATAAATATGTTAGTTACAAAACTTGGTTTCTTAGAAACCATCGTGGCTTGTTCGGTAAGGTCGAGCCTGTCTAGTAATACATACCAAACATGTCTCGTCAGAAGAGTAGGTTTATCATTACTCATTCAGCATCCTAACATTGTTCCTCTGTTTCTAGACTTCCAAAATAGTCTATGCGAATTAGACATTTGTTTTCGATGATCTTCAAATAGTTGTTTGATAATCTTATTTTGTTCATTGATTGGTTGTAGGGTATATGTAAACTGAATGACTATTGCTCAAATCATATCGATTTGAACAAGGAATGCTTATCAGTAACAAAGATTGGTAGATCTGCACGAGCCTGAGGATGCCCTAAAGTTGTGATTGGACTAGACAACATTAAACACCTCGTTTATCGTCTTCATACTCACAGTTAACAACGCTGTACTACAGTCTATTACAAGTTAATTAGTATTAGAAGAAAGTTGTATTTACTCATGTTTATGTGTCTTGTTTGTTGTTGAATGAGACAATTGAAAGGGTCCATCTATAAGAGTTATTCACATATATAGAGAGTTTGATACGTTGAATTGTATAGAACCATCGAACATGTCCATAATGTCAAATGTTTGCAAAAAAGTTTATTGTAGATTCTTGATAGAGTAGATAGATCTTGTTTTCCTTTCAAGTTAAGGGAAAACTTTGAAGAAGTTGTAACATGAACATCCATTTGGTGGGCAGAAATTGAGAGGGCAACTTTTCTATTTGTTGCAGAAAGCCTTTTGCCTTGTAAAGAAAGATTGACTTGGTGGAACATAAAATCATACATTCCATTCTACTATATATACGTATTTTGTGCTGTTTTATTTGGGTCTAAATGTTATAGATGAGATCTCATCTTCGCACGGTATGAAAATTTATATCTATAACTTATTTCGCTACCATTTGGTGTAACTTAAAAAAATGATACAAATTTAAATTAAAGTCAACAATTAATTTAAATTACATAATTTTATGGGACCAATAACTTCTATAACTTTTGAACCACAAATTTTATCATTTGTATATTAAAATCTATTAAAACTCTGATTTTTAGTTACACAAATGGGGCTTCACATTGACTCAGTCACATGTAAGAATAAACACAAAAAGGGCAAATTTTTTACCATCTTTTGTTGGTCAAAAGGGAAAAATTGACCGGGAGATCAAGCACCTCATTTATTTAATTTTCTTTAGCAAAAGAAAATCTTTAAAAAATGTGTAACAGCCAATTTTTAGTTTTAAAACTTAACTTCAAAGCACATTTTAGAAACTAAGTTTGTTAAAAAAAATAATATTACCCTTACTTTCATCTTCATTCATAAGGCAACTAGTTGAAAACCCTTCTCACTGTGTTCCAATCTTGTTTTCATGTCTTTTCACACTGATCTCCACTGTGGCTCTAGCTTTCTACGTGTTGACTTTCTATTTTTGTATTTTTTTACGTGGATTTAACAAGATTATTAGAGGAAAATGATGGTCCATATTGATCAAATGGTAATCAATTTTGATGAATTGAGTCGATTGATTGAATTATAATTGATTGACAAGTTTAATAAAGAAGAATACTTTCATAATTGAAAAATAATAAAGAAGTAAAAAACAAAAAAGTCACACCATATTCCCATTTCTCATAGGGTCCCCAAAGTCGTCTATTCGCATCAAGAAACAGCAGCGGCAGCAGCAGCTCAACCACAAGGAAGAAGGACAGCAAAGACTTTCTCGTACAAATCTCTCGTTAGTATGTACGTCTACATATACACACGCATTTATTGTTGTCTCACATTTTTTAATAATATTTTGTGGGTATCTTTTTCTATTCATTTTATTTGAAAAAATTGACAGATCTGCGCTTTCCGGGGTGATTTGTTTTGATGGCTTCGAAACGGATCTTGAAAGAGCTCAAGGATCTCCAGAAAGATCCCCCTACTTCTTGCAGTGCCGGTACCCCTTTGACCCTTTAATTTTTTGGCTTTTGTATTTATTGTTTTTAGGTTTATACGTTTTTATCTTTGATTTTACGTGCTAATGGGTTGTTTTGAGGTTTGATCCGCGATGTTTGGATATTTATACCAACATTTTAACACGTGGGCATCCGCACTTTTGTTATTTTGACCATGTTTAGTGTAAAAAGGTTTGTTTTTATGTGCGACTTCCACGCTTAACGGTGAAGAAAGTGGATGAAAAAACTCTGCATGCATTGCTTATGTAAAGTGTTGGCAGGATAATCGTAGATTTTCTGGGCCTTTTATCAGAAGTCTGATGGGAAAGACTGGTTAAGCCTATCAAAGTCGATTTTGAGGATCTATGTTTTGCATTGATATATACTGATGTGCAAGAGTTGATCATTTATTTACCTCCATGCAAGGAAAAACTTACAGTAGCTCCCTGTTCTTGTAGAATTAATGCAGCATCTTACCTCGAGATGAACACGCAGGAGAAATAAAAGGGCTCCTCTTTTTCATGGGTAATCCGGGGTCATGAACATATCCAGGGATTTTTTCATTTGCATTTGCTTTTGAAAAGAGCTGCTAATCAATTTGTAGTGGATGTGAATGATGTATGAAGAGTTGGAGTTGCTGTGGCTTCTGATTGGGCGGGAGTAGGAATCGAGTTGTGTTATGTGTGGCAATAATGATGAACAGTATGGAATCAACAAAGAGAGAGTACGATAGAAAACACATAGATTTACATGGTTCGACAGTTGGCCTACATCCACGGGAGCGAAGCGGTTATAATTTTTACTATGCAGAAATAATAGGGTTATAACATATGTATACTAACCCTTGCCCCTACAAGATATTAGGGAAAACCCAAAAATACCCCTGTGCCGAGGGCTAGTACCTTTGGTATGTAAGGTTTTCAGATAGGTGATATATATTTAACTCGCATGTGTTATGTGCAGTTTGCTATTACAAATTCAGAAACTGAATTTTTCAACTTTGGTGTTTACAATTTCTTCCTTTCGAAAGCTATTGATATTTCTGACCTGGATTGTGAATTTTCACTGAACTACGTGTCATTAGCTCATAAAACATAACACTCTGTTTGTCAAAATTTAAAAATCATTTATAAATAGCCAAACTTATTTTCAACCACACATTCCAATTGATATCCATAACTCATTTTTATCTATTTATAAATTAAATCGTTTATAAATTATTCCTAATTGGAGGCTAAATAAATTTAATTAACTTTGTTTTAATGACGTTGTTATCTCCCCTGAGCTGTAACCTGAGATATAAACCATGGATTGAAGTTAGAATTTACTTTCATATTAGTTTCACAATGTTAATGTCTTTTAGCAATTTTATTGTTCTTTCTAGTTTTACTTCAATTGGCCTAGTTTTAATATTTGTCCCCAAGTAAAAGACCAGTATCGAATCATTAAATTCAAAGGAAAGAAAGCTTTTGTTTCCTTTTTCTGTTGAATTTATGGAAAATTTCAAAGAGAGTTCTGTGTTCTTTTCATGGTTTTCCATAAAAATTAGCTAATTACATCTGCTAACTTCATATTTTGCATCATTGCTATATTTTTCATTGCCACCTGAACTAGTAGATCATTAGAACTCATAATCTTGCAGTTTCTTATCTATTACGACTGTGCTTTTACTTGTATTATCTATTTAGTATGTTCTCACTCACTGTAAGATGAAAAATGTGATACTCCTTTCTATTGTGTGTATTTACAGGCCCTGTTGGTGAGGACATGTTTCACTGGCAAGCAACGTTAATGGGACCTCAAGATAGTCCTTACGCAGGGGGAGTATTTTTGGTTACCATCCATTTCCCCCCTGATTACCCATTCAAACCTCCAAAGGTATGTGTTAAGTCAAATAATCTTTGGAATAGTTGATTTCCTCTTATATTTTACGAAAAAGTGCTATTTGAAACATAATGTGTAGGATAAACGGTTTAATCATTTGTTTTATTATTTTAAAATTAATTGAGTTTGTCTGTTGTAGAGTTTCTTTTTATGAGTTGCAGTGTGTTGTCAAGTCAAATTTGTAGAGATTTTTAGTGTCTAACTTGTATCAACAATGGGTTTGACGTTCTCCTCCATTGGCCCTTCTTTCATACGTGTTGTATTTTTAATTGTCCATATTGTTTATTATCGATTTTATTTTGTCTTTTCCTGTATGCAATTTTTCTTTTGTTGGCACTAGGAATAAATTGTAAACCAAAAGTTATCTTGATACAAGAAATAATTACTGCTCTAATGCAAAAAATTTCACCTGCAAATTCAAGTTCTAAGCTAATGCTTTTATTGAAAAACATGAGAGTTTAAAAGTATTTAATAAAAGTTGATTGTAGTGTCCGTGTCCTACTTTTTGGAAAATTTATGTGTAGGTTTTCTGTTGTCGTGTCATTTCAGCATCTATGCTTCATAGTTTATTCCTTGGCAGTATGGTTGGATGTGTTTCTCATCAAGATTGCGCAAGCTCGTTTTAGTTAGATTTGTTCATGTGACTCCAGAGTACTGTCCATTCTGTTCTGTAATACTAAAAGTCAGAGGTGGGTTCTAAATGTAGTGGCTTGTAGCAGAAAGATCATTCAAGAAAGAATATAATAAATGTATACAGGAGCGGAGCCATAAAAAATCATCGTGGTGGGCTGAAATTTAAAATTTTTCTATTGAACTCATGTCATAAGAGACGCTCTACGTCACACGAGATATAGCTTAGAAGGCTAAGCTCATGACAAAGTAGGTCAGATACTCATAGAAGTACAAATCTTGATGTCAACCCTAAGATGTTTTACTAAATTCATAACTTCCCTTGCCAAATAGGAAATTAACACTCTAGGAAATAAAAATGGGAGAAAACATGATAGACATGAGCAAATGAAATATAACTGTCGATCAAAAACTAAGAATACACTTAGAGCTTGTTTGAGCCCCATTTTCTTTTGAGAATGCATTTTGGAATAGTAAAATAATGGGGAATGTGTGGTTAAAAAATAAAGAAAAGTTTTGGATTTGCATGTAATATTATTTTATTGAAGAATATGGTTGAAAAAGAAGAGAGAAAAATGCATTATGGAAATAATGAGGATCAAACAGGGCTTAATGAGTACAAAGAGTTTTGAAAACCCGTCATTCAAAACAATGAAAAATTTTGATGAAAAAACACGATAAAAAATCATGATTGTACGTCACTGTTCTCATAATAATTTTTGATGTTGACAACAATTTTTTATACCAAAACATTCTAATTTCACTTGAAATGGGATAAATCGACCAAAAATATTGAGGGTCCAAGAAAGTGGATTTATTTCACATCCTTGTTTGATTTACTTAAATAACATATTAAGGCACAATTCTATACTATTTGGTCACAAATATTCGAATTAATTGATCACAAATTATTTCTTGGTCATAAATAAAAATTTTATAGGTAAAATTATTTCACGATCACAATTCAAAAATCTTATAAGTCACAATTTAGTCATTGGTCATAAATCAGAAAAATTATAGGTCACAATTTATTTATCGGTCACAAATTTCAAATTTTACAAGTCACAACTCAAATTTTTAGGTCACATATTATTTGTTGGTCACAAATTATCGAATTAGTTGGTCATAACTTACCAAATTCTGAGCCGCGATTCCAAATTTAGTCACAATCACAAGTTCTTTTAGGTTACAAATTATTTATTGGTGACAATTAACCAATTTATTGGTCACAACACCCAAAGAATTGATTACAAATACTCTTCGTCCAATCCAACGATCGCTATCTCCCCCCACCACCACCATAATACACAACACGAACACCACCCCACCACCTCTACACCCTAGCCACCACCACCATAATACCAACAACCCCAACACCACTACTGTACGCCACCACAGCCACCACAACCACCACTACTGCCTGCACCACATCGCCGCACCACCACCACTGCCACTAGTACCACCACCAATCTCGGTCATCATCACCGTAAGCACCATTACCACCATTCGAAATCCACCACCAACTAACAATTACAAAAATCACCTCAAAACAATCGCCACAGCAAAGGAGTAATCTCCAGAAACCACAAAAAAATCCGACCATGTCAAAAGAATCTACCTTCCTGTTGTGCAATGTTGAAATCGCTATCTTCTTGCAAGAGGCGATGTCAAATTGCTATCCACCCTCCTAGGCAAAGGTTGCGGCGGTGCTCCTCTTTTTGATAGCGTCGATCTCTTATAGCTGCAGAGCTCCTCTTTCAACGTCATTGACAGAGCTTGCAGTTGGCAGTGGCATCGATCCTCTCCTTGTAGCTTCGACATTGGTCTCTTGTAGCTACGGTGATCTCGCAGTTCGCGCTGCTCTCTTGCAGTGTCGCCGGTCCTCTCCCTGCAACATCCAAGATCACCGTTGGAGGGATTGAGAGAAGATGAAATAGGTGGAGAGAGGAAAGGGGATGCCGGCTGTTGTATGAGAGAGAGAGAGAGATGGGTATTGAGAGATGTAGGAGAGGGGAGGGTAATTAGGGTTTGTGATGAATTTTGGTTGTATTAATAATATTTGAATTAAAATCTGATTTTTGTATAAACAAATTTTATATCTAATTTTTGAAATTGGATCTTAGAAATTCTGGTTTGATGTAATTACCACTTTGTAATAATTGTGTAGTCTTTTAACTAAATTTGGAAAATTACACATTGGGTTTGGGCTGGACTCGAGCTCACTGGGCTAAAGTAGATTTTCGAACTAAATTTGAACATTATATTTTTTCTTTTTTGCTATCCATCTCGAAACTGGGCTGTGGCTGCCTCCCTTATCTACGCCCCTGGATGTATATGAACTCCTGTCTAATATTTTTAAACACTAAGAGCATTTGTAAAAGACTCTTTAAACATAAGATGCTTTATATTTTAAAGAGTTAACCTTTAAAATTATGGTTCAAGAGACTCTTTAAATTAACATTTTAATTCAGAGAGTGAGTTTGACTTTCTCAATTTGGAGAGCAAAATTTACATTATAAATAAATGCATTCAAAGTATTTCTTAATTGAAGAAAATAATATAATAATTTGGAGGAAAGCTAGTGAAAATAAAAGATAGGGAAAAACAATAAATATTTTTTGTGAATGGTAAAATTAAGTGTTAAATATAAAGAGTATGTTGGAGTACTTCAAAATTTTTACTCTCTAAATTTATAAATGCTTTTTAAATTGTAGAATATGTCCTTTAAAATTAGAGTCTCTTGGAGATACTCTAGGAGTGCAAGAGTCTAGATCTGAAGGTATGGGTTGGGCGGGTTTTTGGTGCGAGCTAAAATGTCTTGAATCTTGAGGAGCATTTGTTAGCCAAAGATATCCTACACAATTTTATGGGAAAAAATGAAGCAGCAATAAGGATTTGTCTTTGGAATAAACAGTGAGAGAAATCATTGGCATTTCTTGCTCCAGCAGCTCAGTAAATGAGCAAATCTGTTGGGTTTTGATACTTGTTCATGTAGAGGATACATAGTTTATAGATGGATGTTAATTTTGCTATGCTATGCCCAATGCAATTCAAAACACTGGAAATTGATGTAATCACATTTCACAGCTCTTGTTTTGTTTCATTTTTCGGTGTGTTTTACATCTTTCGAGGTGCAGCAGTAAACCGTGTCAACTTCTGGTCAGCACGGCATTACTACTAAACATGTAAGATTAAGGGTTTAGATTTGGGTGATTCGGATGTGACGAGTTCAATTTTCCTGAAACCGTTTACTTGAAGTTCCAGTGAATCATATGTACTTGGGATTACGGAAGTTGTAATTTAGTGCAATTATCAAAGATTATTGTACATTTTTTATTCTCATGGTACTGTCTAACTTATTCCTGCATTTTATTAATTGAAAAATTTCAGGTTGCTTTCCGGACTAAAGTTTTTCACCCAAATATAAACAGCAATGGCAGTATTTGCCTTGACATCTTGAAGGAGCAGTGGAGCCCTGCCTTGACAATTTCGAAGGTTTTAGTTTTCTTTATTTTGTATCTTTCTTGTTATCTAATGGACAAGTATAGATTTTAGATTAACATCGGAGTAGATATTATTGTCTTTTTTAATTTGAGGTTTGTATGTGTCTATTTTATTTCGGTACTTCACTTACCATGTTGTATTAGAAGCTCTTGACGCACATCTATCGTGTAGGGTCCAACAGTTGGAACTCCCCAATTCTAGTGCAGAAACGGAAAACAGCTTTTCTAATGTGAAAATTTTATTATTTCTTTTTCCTATGTTCTGTGGTTCTTTTAGGTGTTGCTTTCGATTTGTTCGCTTCTGACGGATCCAAACCCGGATGACCCCCTCGTGCCAGAAATTGCTCACATGTACAAGACTGACAGGGCCAAGTACGAGCAAACTGCACGGAGCTGGACTCAGAAGTATGCAATGGGATAGTGTCATTTGAAATGAGTGCTTTCTTAATGTAAAAATGGTGTCTTATTCTGTCTGCTGTCTCAAGGAACAAATATAGATCAAGCTTCAAATTGTTTCCCGCCGAACAAATGAAGCTGAATGCTTTGAATCGTTGATATGGAATGATTATTGGGAAAGACTGGATATTGTCTTTGGAATTGTTTAGTATGCAATTCAAGTTATTCTGTTGAATCCTTCATTTTTATTGATGAATGTTCTGTTAATTGTCATCTCTTGGAAATGGCTAATTTTACCATAACTTGATTATGAGTCTGATATGAAAGAATGAATATGGCTACAGAATAGAGGGTGTATTGAAAATATAAGAATACATAAACAAATCTCTTTAATTTTATCAAAAATTGAGTCATTAGACTAGGTAATTTGACAGAAAATATAACTGCAATGAGTTAAATTATAAGGAGTGACATTTACATGATTTCTATTAAAATTTGTATATTAGAATTATGAATGTCCTCAAATTTTTGTAGCAAGTTGCAGTAAGACTTCTACCTCTGAGAACTACTTTCAAATCTATATTTTTGTTGCGGAATAAATTAACATTTAAAGATCTTTGGTATGTTGGATTGAACTATTATGCCCCGTTTGATTGGCTTCTTTTTCCATGGAACTAGGAAAATNATGATTTCAAGTGGGTTTGCTTAGGCCCCGTTTGATTGGCTTCTTTTTCCATGGAACTAGGAAAATTTTTTCCGTTTTCCATCTTTTGCGCCGTTTGATAGCCTAAATTTTCTATGGAAAATATTTTCCTCCCCAACCCGCTTCGCCAGCCGGCTGCTAAAAAAAAAATTTTTTTTTTTTTTTTGGCAATGGAAACAAATATCATAACCAATTGTAAAAAAAAAAATTCACTTTAATGGACAATTTCCATGTAAAACAAAGTCAAACGAACATTAAGGCCCCGTTCGGGAGGGATTAAAAGCCAATTAAAATTGAAAATATGACCGTTATTGGGTCCCACTCATCTAATAAAAGTCAACAATAACGGCTATATTTTCAATTTTAATCTGATTTTAATCCCTCCCATACAAGGCCTTAATATTTAGTTTAGTAAGAGGCTTGTGAACAGGATTATTATGGTTAAACAAATTTTATAACCAATTGTGGAAAAAAAATCACTTTCATGGACAATTTCCATGTAAAACAAAGCCAAACGAATAGAAAATTTAAAAATTTTCCGGGTGGAAAATTATACCAATCAAACACACTTGAAATCATTTTCTCTACAAAACATTTTCTAGGCAAAACTTTTCCCTGTAAAACATTTTCTTTCCACTCATTTTCCACCATTGCAATCAAACGCACCCTTAATGATTTCAAATTCAAATCATATTTAGCCTTTGCTTGAGCCCATTTTTCACAATATATTTTGTAATTTTTGTTTTAATCTTTTTTTTTTGAAGAATGTGTGATTAGAACGTAAAAAAAAGTTTGAGTTTATGTGCAAAATTATTTTATTAGAAGAACGTATAATTCACAATGAATTTTAGGAAAAATAAAATTTGAAAAAAATGAGGCTGAAACGTGAGCTTATCAAATGTGTTAAAAATGCAACAACAATTTTATACCCATAGCATGTTTGGTTAAGCTTTAAACGTTACTTATAAGTAAATAAGTTCTAAAAATACATAATTATCAATAAAAGTAAAAAATAAGTTGCTTTGCTTAGCTCATTTTAGCTCTACGGCTATTTTATTCTACTTTTGCTGGACGATGATAGCTATGGTTCTTCTCATTTAATTCTCGGAGAGGGGAATAAAGTGGTGCATATGTTTGCTTCAGTTGCTACATTAGATAAGGATTTTTTGTCCTTGTTAGATTGAGACTGCATCGATGTCTATTTCGTTTACTATTTTAGATCATTTAACATAATAAATTTGTTTTCTCTGTATTTAGAAAAAAAGCAATTGCCTAAAATTTTGGATTTTCAAAAGGAACTAACTCAGATATTTGAAGCGGGTACATTTAAATGGTATACAGTCGCCTAAATTTTTTGGATTTTCAAGAAATTTATTTATGCTCTTAGGATGATAAAGACAATTACAGAGTGCAACTCTTTTAAAGAAGATACTTTCCTATTATCCATACGTAAATCTCGACTTACCTTAACCTTATGGCAATCAAAGGAACCGTTTCTTCTAGTGGGTGAGCAAAGCTTGCTTTATTAAACAACATTTCCATCAGTTTTTGAAATTTCGTAAGGTTATATTGGTTTTTGGAGTTAGGGATGACAACGAGATGGGTATGAGACGAGCCGGTATTTCCACCCCCGTCCCATTAGATATTTATTTATTTTATTTTTTGCTTTATTTTTTTTAAAATATTTTTAGTTAGTAAATTAAAATTGAAATTAACTTTAAATGGATGAGTAGCGGGGCGGACTTAGCGGGGTCCTAGGGGGCAAGTGCCCCCCAACTTTGATATTTTTTTTATAAAATCGTGTTTGGTATCGATTGAAATCTAAATTTTAATTCAAATCAAAGTTCACAATTAATTTTAATAACATATTTCATGGAATATATAACCATTTAACTTTTATCAAAATTTACTAAAAAATTAATTTTAATCTTCACCAAATAGAGACAAAATCACAATAAATTTGAATTTCAATAATATGCTAATTTTAACAATTTTCCTACCATCATACGCTAATCGAATTACAAATTGTTTATGTCATCTCAAAATTTATTTCAAGAACTACATTATGGACATATCGAATAGTCCAAACAGAAATCGAAAATAGTTAAAAATATGTTAAACGCGAGTCTTAAAAAAAGACGTTTAACTCACATTTTTTTAAAAAATTCAATTATTTTATTAACATTTATTATTTTTGCAATACAAATTTCTCAATGTAATTTTCATCATTTAATTAGGAAATTTTATACGAAATATAACATTATTTTTTTTCGAAAATTTACATATGAAAATAATAAAAAATATATTAAACGTGAGTCTTAAAGAAAGACGTCTAACTCACATTTTTTTTTAAAAAAATTCAATTATTTCATTAACATTTATTATTTTTGCGATACAAATTTCTCAATATAATTTTCATAATTTTATCAGGAAATTTTTTATGGAATATGACATAAATTTTTTTCAAAATTTTACATCCGAAAAAGTCAAATTCCATATAAATTTTTGGATGTAAAATTACATGGGGTATGATTTTTTTGGACGTAAATTTTCGATCGTAAAATTTCTCCTGACTTCTTTGCAAGTTCGATTGTACCCATAACTTTTAAGGTATGCGTCCACCCTTGGGGGCGGAGACTATGTTTCTTATACCCGCTTCATACTAGCTTTGAGGTAATAACTCTCGTCCCGTCCCTGCCCCATTTACCGGTTAGACGGGTAATCCCCACCTCATTCGGGACGGGACTCCCAATGTATCGAATTGAACGAATTTTTTTGTCATCCCTATTTGGAGCCTCATCTTTAAGTCTGAATTTCAAAGAAAGTATTTTGGAGATGACTAATAGCTTATTTACCACATCCCACCTAGCTGAAAAAAAATCTTCTCCCTTGTTAATAATGAGAATTCGGAACGAAATTTATAATGATTTAGAACAGTAACACACTTGTGTTTATTTGGCTCCTCAGTTATATCCTCTTCGTCACTTATCTCATAATCCATATGTAGTTTTTTATATGGAACATTGTCCTGCAGTTTACACTTGTTTGTCACATTTCTCCTCAACTATGTGGTTATTGTCAAACTTTGTTTGCATCTCTGTAAATGACTTGAAGAAGTTACGCAATCTGTCCACTTTATAACTTTAAGTGAAGTCTAAGAAGGGGGAACATAACTGTACCTGTGTTTCATGGAGCCGAAGCGAATTTCAGAATTTTGGCTCCTAAACCATAACAAGCAATCAATTTTTTTCATTTATAAAAGTTTTATGGTTAACTTAAAATCAACAATAAAATAACAAATAAAAAAAATATTCAAAATATTTATATTACAATCAAACAACAATGTGAAAGTCTTTTAAATGATCACTTAAATACAATTCATTTTGCGGTTTTGGAGGCAAAAATATCAATCAATTTTCGATAGTCGAGTTGTTCAATAATTTCATTTTCAGTGGATAACATTGTCAATCCATTCAATCTTTGCAATGACACAATTGATTGGAGATAAGTGTTGATCAATTTTAAGTTGGAAAAATTTCTTTCTGCTGATACAATTGTAATTAGTATGGTTAGCAAAATCTTGTAAGCAATGCAAGCATTTGAAAAACAACAATTCATTTTACTCAAGTAAAGTAGCACAACAATTGCTCTTTTTGCTTATCTAGGTAAATAGCACTTCAAGATTGTCAACTCCGAACATAAATCATCACTAATAATGTTTGAATGTCCATTATGTTTTAAATATTGTTCAAGATTCTCACGAGATTTCAATAAAATGTCAACATGTGTACTCATAATGAATTCAATTTCACAATAGGAAATAAACTTCTTATTTGCAGAAAAAAGAGTAAAATTTGACATATTTCCTTACTTTGCACAAGGCACACAGCTTTTTAGAGGGAATAAAAAAATTATAATTGAAACAACAATAACAATATATCATCCAATGTAATAAATATTTTCATAATGTAACAGAATAAAATGGAAAAAAATAAATAAATCACATCATATTTAACAATATATTGCACCTAATTACCACATAGAAGGCACACATTCACATTAACTAATAACGAATCATAGATCAAGAAAAATCATTCAATTTCACGCACAAATCAATGATCTGATCAAAAGGTAATTGAAAAAAAATGTAATTGAATTTAAAGACAAAACTATATAGTAATCAATCAAATATATATATAATCCCTAATCCAAACATTGATTTTGTGATTCACAATGTCATTGTTGAAGAAGGCTCATTGTTTGGAGCAACCAAGCAAGAGTGAACAAGTATAAATGATCGTGAATTTTCAAAATAAAAGGAA